CAAGGGTCAGTGAACGATCGGTTTTTCGCGTATACGCTTACATTCCCCTTTTAGGCCTTGTCTTTGCCGAGCGTTTTTCGCCCAATTAGCTGGTCCAACTACTTTGGCGCTACCCAAAACAAAATGAAAAGTTGCGATCAATCGGACCAAAAATTCAGGCGAATAGCTCCGTGGAATTCAACTAGTGGTACATTGTTCCTTGTCTAAAATTCGAAGTCGAGAAAACTTATTTTCAACATGAAAACATTCGTTGAACCGTGTCTTTAAAAATGGGTCTTTAGGACGAATAAAACTTCAAATCTCTTCTTCTTGGTTTGAACTTGGTACGACTTAAAGCGTTTACTGTAAACTCATTTCAGTTGTTATGAACTGACCCATCTTTTTCCCGATGCTGTTAAGATGAATTGATACGCCTCGCGATGAACTTTTTCGCACGAGGAAAAGCGAAATTCAGTGAACTTTTTCATGGGAGAGTTACTTAGTCTTAGCAGCATTGGTCAAAGCAGGATTGTATTTGTTTCTATAACAACTGATTTGCCTCTGGATTCTGTTGTGCTTTCAAGCCTCATCATATTATTGATCCTCAATATAAACCAAAAAGTAATAAAATAAAGAATGACGTCATAAGAAAAATGCTGCTTATTAACATCTCTCGATTTTTTCTCCTGATTGGAAAAATCTATTTAATTCTCCTTGTTCTCATAACTTTGAACTATTCCCTTGTCTTATCTCTGAGAGCCGATAGAACGATGCCAAAATGTTCCCCAGGTTACATTGCCGATGCCCCAGATTCCACCACCACCTCTCACAGTTCAGAGACGTGACCCCACAAGAAGTGGATGAACTAAGGAAGACAGTGGACATCTTGACAAAACTGGTCACAAACCTTTATTTAGATCTGCATGATTTGAGGGTAGGTCAATTGAAACAGCCACACTATATTAATAATTAGTGCAGCAGGATCAATAGATCCCTGTTGGTCCACTGTGACCCAGTCAGAATACGAAAAGGTCAATTTTTACAATTTTTCTTATTCGTGCACTGGAGAAAAACACATAGGATCTCTAGTCCAGACTCTTAAAAACATTAACAAGAAAAAATACTCTTCATTCAATCGGACTTTTCCTTGAATCAAAACAAATTCCGCTTAAATTAAGAGGCTTGGTTCTTGATTTAAGCTAAATTCTGATTAAATCAAGAGTACTTTTTCTTGTCGATGTTTTCAAGAGTCTGGACTCAAGATCCAATGTGTTTTTTTTTGTTTTTTTTTCCAGTGCATCAAACCGATGAGAGGAGACAAATTTGTGGGTTCACGCGAAGAGCGTGCAGGGGAGAGCTCGCTCGTCCATCGAACAAGGAAAAGGAGGACTGTCCTGCCGGGGCAAATAAAATTATTTGACAAATATGTTAATGCGACGGAGGCAACAACTTCTGCTCGGGCACAACACGGGTTTCCCTGCATCGTTAAACAATTATTATGTAGACAGCCGCATTTGTTGGTTAATTATTCCGAGCGGTGGGCGCTGCTTACGGCGCCCCCCCCCCCACAACAGGAACGGGGGACGGGGGCGGGGGGTGAGTTTCAGGGCCATGGCGTGCATCCCGGTGAAAGTTATTCGAACCTCACTGTCCAGGGCAGCGATTCGACCCCACGAAATTGTGATGTAACGTTGTGCTGATCAAAAACCGCTTGTCTGCGTCCAGTTTTGATGCGTGCACTGAAAAAAATGAGTTAGCGTCAGATGACTAAAAATGGTTTCTATACACTAACTCAAATTGTGTGATTTGGACACACATGATTTTTGGTTTCTGTACACTAACCACTATTAGTGCTGGAAACTAATTCCGCTACTCTAATTCACATTCGGTAGGGTTGGGTCAACCTAACCTCAAAACTGAGAGAGGAGAAAACGGCTTAGCGAATGATAACTGGACAATACTTTCAGGAAAAGAAGTTTTTTTTTTTTTTTTTTTTTTTTTTTTTTTTTTTTTTTTTTTTTTTTTTTTTTTTTTT